ATATATATATATATATATATATATATATATATATATATATATATATATATATATATATATATATTTACAAGTAAAGTGTTTTTATTTTTGCTTTACTAATCTAGGACATATTCCAGAATATGAGTCATCTGCCCACCTTTAGTTCCCCTGCCATTGAAAGCCATATTCACCGCATTAAAGGTCTGTCCCAGAAGTTCGTTTATTTAAATGACGATGTGATGTTTGGGAAGGATGTCTGGCCTGATGATTTCTATAGCCACTCCAAAGGTCAAAAGGTAAGTTCACCACAAAACAGTTTGAGGCATAGGATTTGATAGCTCGAACAGCCTTTCTTCTAGCCCAGCTTCTCCCTAATCATCCCATAATAGCCATAGGAAGAGGAGTTCCTATCCCCTTCCCAAAATACTTATGTGTGAGATGAGAGTGGTGGGGGGTCTTAATTTCAGAGAAAAGCAGTTGTGGGAAACATAGGATGGGCCAATGGCAGACAATGGAATGTGGATCCCTGTGAAGATGAGTGAATGATTGAATGGAGTTGGTTGACTGCTGAATGTGTCCTGATTTGTAACATCTAATCAGAGATCTCCTGTTTCTTTTCTTTCCTTGGTTACCTGGGTCCCATACCTCGTCTCCCACCAGTTTTGTTCTCCTTTCATCCCCCTTCCCACTCTATTTGTCCTTTCCACATATCTGACTTCTGTTGCATTCCTTTTTGCTGTTTCTTCTGGATGCAGTAAGGAAACTATGGTGTCTGTACTTTTGTGTACAAGAAAGGTTTGTGTGTGAAAGAGAATGGTTGTTGCATACAGATAGAGGGTCACTTATTTTAATGACTGACTCATTGATTATCTGCCATCAAGTCAGTGTCACCTCTTAGCAAACATATAGATAGATTTCCTCTGGGATGATTCTATCAGAGAGAGAGGTATATACCTACAGATATACACATACAAGAGTGTTATATACACATATTTACTGGGGAGGGAGAAATTCAGGTAATCTTCAGGTTGTAATAGCAATAGGGACTGGAATTTCTATCGCTAAGCAATAAGGTCATAAAGCATAATGTTACGTGAGCGCATTGCAGCAATTCTGGTAGTCCTAGTTTCCAGTTTCAGCCATAACTCCAGAACTCTGCAAATCATTAATAGGAAGAGGTGGGAGTCATAGGCAAGCAGTGCAGAGGATGTAACGAGTGCTTTGGCAGGTGTTACAAAATGTGGAGGGTGCAAAGGTGTTGGGAGAAGGTGCTGCAAATAGGTGCTAGGGAGCATAGGCAGGTGCACTGGTGGTGCAGTGGTTAGAATGCAGTATTGCAGGCTAATTCTCCTGAATGCCAGTAATTCGATCCTGACTAGCTCAAGGTTGATTCAGCCTTCAATCCTTCCAAGGTCAGTAAAATGAGGATCCAGATTGTTGGGGGCAATATGCTCATTCTGTAAACTGCTTAGAGAGGACGGTAAAACACCGTGAAGTCTGAATGCTATTGCTAGTGGGGGCTGTGGGTGGTTCTACAGAGCACGGGGTGGCAATGGACAAGTGCCAGGGGAGCATGGGCAAGCTGGCGAAGGCCATGTGTGGGCTTGCGAAGACCATGGGCAAGTGCTGCAGAAGGCAGGCAAATGGGGTGGTGGTGCTGCACTTGTAGTGTGGCTCCTTGAGAGAAAAAGTGGTGGGATTGACTTCCAATTTCCCCTGCTGGCAGGGAAGGTTACGGATGGCAATCACACAACTGCAGCTTCATAGGCCATTCATAAGTCCCCCTCATTCAGCAGCTTTGTAATTTTGAATGGTCCCTGAATGGTCCCTGAATGAATTTAAAAGACTACCCATGTCAAGGACTGCTTTTAGCTACATCTGGTAACTCTAGGTTGACAAGGTAAGAACTTTGGCCCTATACCGGATTTTTTTCTTATGTTTATATACTTTTTTTCCCTTCTCATCTCTTCAAGGTTTAGGGTCAACTTAAATTCAGAGTGAACTTCCTTGGTGAAAACAAGTCTATTCTTTTGTACTTCCTCTGCTTAATTGTTAGGGATCCCTCTAGTGTATTCAGATGGTTGTATAGATAATTAAATAAACTAAGTTTATGTTGTACTACTCTTTCATTGAGAACCAGGAAAGCAATATTTTAGTATACGTTCCAAACATGACAAATCCCTAGAAATGGGTATGTTTAACACATTTCTTTAGATTAGAAAACATGCATCTTAAAACAATTTATCTGTTTTGTATGCATTAAACATTTACAGATTATTTACTGTTCTGACCCCCCCACCCTCCGTACGGTGAGTCACACTGACACAAGGTTACTGTTAGCCAATTTATTCACAGTAATTACTCACAGACAAGACTTTGGCAG